AATCCACAGCTGTAGGTTTAAATCGATCTGCTGAGGTGGTTTTGTGAACTTCTGAGAACAATTGTTTCAGGCCAATCTGGAACTTAAAAGATACTGCCTCGCCTTAGAAACCATCTTCAAATTTCGGTTACATTCTTAGGATAAAACCCTCATGGTTTCCACTAAATTTAAGATGTGAAATCACAGTGAATCTACTGTGAGTGCTTCTGGTGCAGGCAACAATAATCACTGCGGTGTCAGAAGGCCAAGGTGTGTCGGCTGGTTGATCAGGATGAAGATAGTTGAGCTCCTCCCTCAAGGCATTTGTGCACCAAAAGCCAGACCATTTGAGCACAGATATTTGCATTTTTGATGCTGTTTCATATGTGCGATATATTCTGTTACCCTTATCAATCATTGTATTCTGAGAGTTCTTTTGTGTTGAAATTATCTCCAGTAGTCTGGACGTGTAGAACATTGTTCGGTAAAGAGAGTGATACCATCAGTTTCTCTGCTGCCAGATTAAAAAAAGATACAGTCATTGTTTCTTCAAAAGCAAAGCTGAAAGGGGGTGATTTGGAGCAGTATTTTTTTCCTGCAAGCTTTTAACAATTTTAAACAAATTATACAATATGGTTCAGCCTCCTCAAGAGCAAAGAAGCAAACATGCACAGAGTGTGAAGTCCTAGGTTGGTGCCTACAAGCTAACACGTGCCAGCTGATCTGCAGCTCATTTGCGTTCCGTAGCCCATCACAGCTCCGTGCAATGAGCCAGCTGAAGCCTGATTGTTCTGCCTTATTGATGCAGGTCTAATAAAAAAACCTCTTCTCCGCTCACGGTGCAATTGTTACGTGGGGCCTGCTCTGATACCTTGTTCCCACTATCAGATGTTTTACGCTGCGTGCATTCATACTTCTGGGTGGTCGATCAAGGATTTGGTATGTACTCATTAAATATTCTGTTTTTTCACAGTGAGTGAAGAGGGCTGTGATAAAGCCCATGTTTTGTGATGACGATAGTGAGAAGCACAAGGCATAGCTCATTGACAGTGAATTTGATTGTTCTTAAAATCGAATGAATTTCTAGTATTCCTGGCTAAAACATATTCCATGTTAGTAATCCTGAACAGGCTCTGAAGTCAGAACTTGGTGTTTGCACCCAGGCAGGACTGATTCCCGTGTGTGATGTTTGACATGAAGTTCCAGATCAGACTGCATGAGGAGGGATGAAATCTAAGTGCATCTGGAAGAAGCAGCTCTAACACGCACTGAGCCTGCTGCCATCCCCTGTGCTGTGGGACAGTCTGGGCCAGATGTGGCTGCCAGCACCTGTTACAGCTACAATTGTTGGTGTTTGCAGAACGGAAATTATCCAAGGGAAAGCACGAGTTTCGATTTCTCATAAAGAGCTTGAGGCTTTAGGTGGACAAAGTGTTCCCACACCTCTCCTAGGGCAAGAGTTGGGTTTTCCTGCCTTTTATGGGAAATGTGTAATTTCCTTCAAATCTGTGAAAGACTTTAGAGTATAACTCATGCAAAAATCATAAACTTGTGTTTGAAAAAATAAAAAACATACTCAATTCACTATGTTCTTTGAAGAGGCGAGGAAAGTAGCGTTTTTAGATTTCTGTAATGAACAGAACTAAAAGTAAAAATACATGTTTCAAGAGTCGAAGCATATGAAAAAATGCTAAGCATCATCCACTGATGCTTCAGAATCCCGGTGAAATGCTTTGAATTGCAACATATCTGTGAGGAACAAGGATCAGTGGGGATCTTGAATGAAGCACTGTATTAGCCAATATAAAATACTGAGCGTGATGGAGTTGTCAAGTCTCGATGTGTTGTGTGTGGTTTATAAGGCCCTAACATGCCACTGAATCTCACAGTAAATACTCACAATTTCTTACTGATAGAACTAAATTTACAGGTCATGATCCAAACTTAACCTGGATTTTTTTTAAAAACTTTGTTCTTACACTTCTGCTCCTTGTACATTTGTGCTACTGTAGTAGGAAAGCACAGGTCAGTAGGCTTTTATAAATTTATGGTTTTACTCCTTTACAAAAAGGAGAATTTAAAGGCACAGCTCAGCATGGGTCTGTTAGCATTTGTATACATCTATTGCTTTAACAAACTTATTGGGGGGAAAAAAATCAGTCCTTACTTATTTATTTTGAAACTTTTCCCTTGGACTTCAGTATATTTTCTAAACAAAAGATGTCTGCCTTAGTAATTTTGTCTTGCTGGTTTTGAAGAAAGAGATAATTAATTTAATAGCAATGACTCTCATGTCTTCCAAATCCTTTTTTCTTAGATACTTTCCTTTCCTATTACCTTTTCTTCCCATTTTTTTTTTTCGGTTCAGTGAGGTTCTGCAGCTCTCTTTGGAGGGAGGTACTCTAGATCAGTGACACAGGAAAGTGCATCTTAGTTCCAACACTGTATCCATTTATTGGTGTGAATTCAGGCCAGGAGACATTCAATGTTAATACTCTTTTATCTCTGTAAACAACTATTCAGGAAACATGACAACAGAAAAGAGCTTGCTTTCTGCAGCCTCTTATGTACTTTTGTAATTACGAAAGACTGTCCACAAATATGTTACAGTACATTTTTTCTTTTCCTGCAAGAGCCTAGAAGTGTGATTAGTTTATTACAACAGAGAAGCTCAAATGATCTCGCTACAAAATCTTCTTGTATGAATCCAAAAGATAACGAGCCTACACCACTAATGAATTGTGTAAAAGATGCAAATTTGTATCCAGGAGATAAGAGAATTTTAATTTCTTAATTATTTGCTATTAATGCATTCTTTGTGACTTGTGATTGCTTTGGGGCTTAAGGTAGTTGAAGAAAAAGGTGCTAATTCTTGTATAACTCTAAACAGCTGCTCGAGAAAAGTATTTGTTCATTGCCATATCTCAACATATATCTATGCATTACCTACTTGCATAAATTGCTACAGAAATTTAGAGACTGCGACATCCAACAGACCGCACAGTTGTAAGTTATTTCAAATGTGTTTGAAGTCATGAAACCTGAGCAGAGTTAGGTGACGGAGCCCACTAAGGAAAAAAGAATTACCTCTATTGTAGAACAGCTTAAACAGTGAAAATGTGTTTTGGGACCAGTACGCATTGCAACGCTGCAATACACTGCACCGGCAACAAGTTGCTTGTGAGGGTAAAGCTCTCCTCCCGAACCAAAGTGAGCTGCAAGAATGTCATTTCACTTGTCTAAATGCAACCCTGCTGGTGACTTTTGCCACCATGAACCTCACACCTTGAGGCTTGAGGCTAAAGCACGCTGCTCTTCTGCTTCACCTTCCAAAGTCTGCACAGGAACAAGGCCATAGTGCTGACAACAGGAAGTTACTGCGCAGAAAAGAGTAATTGCCCAATTAGTGGTTAAAGAGTGGGGGCAAAAAAAAAAACCCTTAGCTTCATTTCATGACTTAATTCTATTCTCCGAAGTTATTGCTGGGTGTCACAACATCACAGGTATGTACCCAGCAGCAGGCTGGGACTTTGAGGTACTTCTACCAGCACGCAAAACTCCTAAGGAATCCCAATAATGAGGGAGATAAATCATGTTAAAGAACAAGAACAGCTTAAAGGAAAAGCCCAACTGGGATCCCTACTGCTTCATTAACTGCTGAGATTTGCCTGACAGGTGAGACAGGGAATAATGGTGTTTGAGGCAGAACTTGTCACCAGAGCATGTGGTGTTCAAATGGCGTTTCTCTCCCCAGCTGCAGGGTGCAGACTTGTTGCTACACATGATTCACAAAGGAGCTGGAGCTCATGGAATCCACAGCTACGTTGTGTGGCTGAAGAAGCACCTTCTCCAAGACACCAAACAAGAGGCATCTTTTCATGCCCTGGCCACATGCCCACTTTGGGCAGATAGAAGCTTTGCTCTCAAGTAGAAGGATAAAGATGTCGTTCCTTGCACAATATAGAATCTGAATGTAAAATAAATCTAGAACCAAAGGTGTAGTTTGATGGACCAGAATATAAAATTTTGGATCTAGAACCAGCCTAATATTTACACTAATACAGAATTTTCTTTCCTCTGTGAACACAAAGACAATTCCAATTAATACCAGACTATTTTTAACATAGGAATGACTACAAAATTGCATGTACTGGATTTATTGAACAACAACTGTTTACCCAAGTTTGGAATATCACAGTACTCAATCAAATTTTGTGGCCTGCTAGCATGCATGCAAGTTCTAATTTAGTGACATTTTTTTTAATTATTCACGGTAAGGAAAAAAAGTAAACTCTGCAAATACTCAGACCATGCAAGAACTCATACCTTCTTAACACAGCTGAACAGATAGTAATTTCTCTAAATGAATCACAGAATCATAGAAAAGTTAAGGTTGGAAGGGACCTTGAAGATCACCTAGTTCCAGCACCCCTGCCTTGGGCAGGGACACCTCTCTCCCACTAGCCCAGGCTGCTCAAAGCCCCATCCGACCTGGCCTTGAACACTTCCAGGGATGGGGCATCTACAACTTCCTTGAGCAACCTGTTCCAGTGCTTCACCACTCTCATGGTGAAGAATTTCTTCCTTAAAATGAAATGTCATATATTTAAAATATTTTACTTTATTAACAATAAATTATCTGTGGCATCACCGATCAACAAAACACTAAAGATGTAGCGTGCAGATTGTCTGCATCCTCATCAGAAAGGCAACACGACTGGTACCTTCAGAAAAACTGAAGAAATTATGATGAACTTATTTACATATATCATTTTCAACCCTATGAACAACGCAGAGCAGGACATGTACTTCCAAATTTCCCCAACTTTTATATTAAATAAGGCAATAATAAAAAACATAACATCACAATAACTCTGGCTACCGAGTCCTGATATAGTGCCGTGCTCAAAGAGGAATGTGCAAAAATAAACACTTGGAATTTGCACTTTTACTCTTCACTGTGTAAAATTAAAGAAAAAAAAAAACAACAACAAAAAACCAAAGAAACCAAACCACTACTGTTCCAAATTCCACTGTCAGGAAAAACAAAAGAAAAGCTTCTGGGAGAATCCCAATTGACAAAGCCATTAATTCAGCCTGTGGCACTATTTGGAATATCTTGAGCATCTGCTAAATGTAGTTTTTGGCTGACGCAAACCATTAAGGAATAACATTTTCACATATAGATAAGGTATAAACAAGATAGCAGCGTTACATAGAACTGTGCTTAGTCCTGTGGCAGGTATGCACCGGTCCAGTCAGGTTCAGTTCTATTAAGTTCTACGCTAGTTCACTGTCAGTAGATTAATTTACTGAGACTTAAGCGTTACATACCTCCAGAACGAGCTGGTGGCTCAAGGGGGATGGCAGATTACTTTTATCACTATTATGTGATATTATCCTCACATTCCACTTGTGTTCTTTATGAGACTTAGCCTTAAACAGCTTTCCATGGACACCAAGGATGCATCTGTCAATGTTTTAAGTCCCAGACCAGAGTTCCACCCTCCTCAACGCGTACAAAGTGTGTAACATCAGAAGTAACTAGACTGCAGGATTAACAGAACGCAACGCTCCCCAGCTACTAAAAGCATGATGTAAAGACAAGCAAAGACATTTAGCTTGATCTTCTGAGTGGGCTAAGTGCGCACTTTTGATCAATTACTGAAGCTCTGCTGAAGTATTTGACTCAACACAGCCTGACCCCAGAATAAAAAATTAGGTCAGTGATAAACAGCTGCACATATTTCTAGAAAAAGCTAAAAGGTAGTAAGATTCACTTATCAATTGGACAGAACGTTTTTGGATATATAAAAGGAATGTTACCATGTATGCTTGTTTCTAGAATCTCTCAGGAAGATGTATTTAGAATGACCCTGCTTCTGATGGGCTTTGCCATCAACTGTCAACACACTGGCTAAAGTGGGTACACACTGTTAAATAAATCACCATACGAAAAAACAGCCTGTAATGAAAAGTGTTGAGATCCAGTCACTTATGCATTGGAAGTACCTGAAATCCATGTTGTATTACAGTCCTAATTTGAAAGACAGGATGTTTTTGAAACCATTCAACTCGTATAAAGACAGCAGTTACTGGGGAAATATACTGTAATCTGGCTAGAGTTAGTAATTGTAACGCACAATAGACATTTAAGGAAAAGGATACATCGATGAATTCAGTTCTTCTAGCTGAAATATAAATGTAGAAAGTATCAGAAATGGCATTTCAGTCAAATAAATGCAACAATTATGCCTAAATTATGATGAAACAGATACATTAAAACAATGAAGGAAATCACTAATAGTGTGGGCTGAAATGTATGATTTTATTACAAAAAGCAAAGCAAAACTTGCACTGAATTCTATCCAATAGAGCTCTGTCCCAAATTAAGCTTAAATCAACCAATCTCAGGAAATTTAAAGATCTTTTGACAGTTTTGGTTCTTATGGAAATACACTAGAGAAAGGAGAAACTGAAAGTGTAGAATATACAGATCTAAATTCCTTGTTAGGTGTGGTCTACCCACACATAGGAGTAGCAGCTCCTTGACACAATGGCTGTCTCTAAACAGGCCTACACCCTCTGATGGTTGACAGCAAGACTGCTCCCCTCACCAAAACAAGCAATATGTATAAATAAAATAAAGACAAAACCCCCAAGGTACTGTGTTTCTCAAAACCAAGATGAGGGCAGGGCTTATGTCTTCATTCATTACAGATTTGTGGTTTTTTCAACTATAAAGCGGTGCCTGCCCCAGTAGCGTTGTTTCCCTGAGCCAAGCGCAGTGAGCAAAGTTCCCTGCACGCTGCCTTCGCTGTACTTACATCTGACAGCAGCCTGTCCAGGTTGGAGTCACTGGCTGGTTTTCTTTTGTCTTCAGGGAGTTCTTCCAGCTCCCCGTAGAGCTCCAGATTGAGGCGAGCGAGTTTCTCCTGCATACTCCGCACGTGCTCCATCTGCTCGATGGAACATTCATTTCCTAAAAGGATGAGCAACAGCTTTAGAGAAAGGAACCTGAGAGAGCAAAGGAAAGTGCAAAGACACAGCTTTTAACATCAAAGAGGCATGCAAACAGCAAATTTACAAGCTAATTTGCTTTCTCAATGATTTCTTCCTGGTTTGCTGCTGAAGTTTCTGTCATCCTGTCTGGTGATATTTAAGAATACTGAATTTAGAGTAACTACCAAATGTACTACTTTTTAAAATATATGTGGACTTTTTCTACACTCCTGAATTTCTCTCTAATTTAGGAAGGCCCTGTTTTTTAACTTTAAATATGATCACAATAAACATTCTTTCTCATTTTGTTTAATTTTGGAGGTTTCTTTCCTGTAACCGTTTTTTTATATATCACAGAATTTTCAGGTTTCTCTTCTAAAATCCATGTGGAATTAAAACGACATGGTGCCCCGACATTAAACTTGCAAAAGCATACGTGCATCTTTCTACACAGTACAAGATAAAAATTGAAGCAGAAGAGTGTCATGGGTTTTTGAAACCTCCATCAAGATGCTAAGGCAGAATAGTAAGCTGGGTAAAATACAACTTGTACTGGATTCCATAAAGGTTGTTACCAACAGTCTAAAGTGTTAATATGCAGCAAAGTTGGGTGCTCAATACGGTTACTTCTTATTTTTCCTATACTGTCATAAGTGACTAATGACTTTTAAATTTGGTATCTTAAATCCATCAGTCAAGGTACTGCCTTTGGTAAGGCACGCTGGAAGGAACAGCGAAACAGCATGTGAATCATCTCACACCACAAACAACCTTACAATAGGACTTCGATTTAGAAATGCAGTAAGATCTATCAAGTTATGTTAAACATCATTTCACAGAGGAGAGACCAACATGACAAACCGGGAGCCTGTCCGTACAGCACATTTGTTTGCAAGTGTTACCATCGTACAGCTATAACATACAGACAATTCACGCACGTACCAAATGCTTGAAGTTTGCCAGAATGGAAGTCATTCAGGAGACTCAGAAGTCCCCTTTCCATTTCCTGGACATCTGATACATCTGTGAGAAAAGAATGCTGGATTGGTGCTGCTTGCGCCCCTTTTGCTTCGCCTCCTGGAGGTTTGGCTTTCTCTTTTATTATGCTGAAAGAAATAATTGAACAAAACAAAAAGATTACTTCCTGCTTTCGCTTTCACCAAGAATCTGAAATGTAAGATAAGTGTACATCTGGGCTGAAAAAAATATATAATACACATTTCAGACACTCCTTTTAAGCTAAAAAAAAAAAGAAAGGATCACCAGTTTGTCTTAAGAGTAAAGAACATCACTGTCTTAACAGTTGATTCTGCAAAATGAATGTTTTCGACAATCTGCTTTCCTATTAATAGCGGAGAATGTTAGTGGAGCACATGTACGTAACAGCCACCTTCATAACCTGAAGACCATTACCCCACAGTGGCACATGGGGCATTTCCTACATGAAATCACCCAGAAAGCACCTGCAAATTCTCTTTAAGCCAGAGAGAAAGAAAATCTCAATCACAAACGCTTATAGACTGCAACCAGTGTGGAAAACAACTCATTATAACCTACACAGGAAGGTGACCTTGCCTCCAGATAAATTTTCCTTCTTTCTCGCCTTCAAACAACAGCCAAATTTTGTAAAACTCACCATCAAAATCAATCTCCCAGTCCTCTAACACACACCAAATGCAACTAGTCCATTGCCAAACAAATGTTAAATATGCCAAAAATTCTCTCTGCAACAAGCTCCCTCTGCAACAAGACCACCAAAATTCCTGGATCTTATACATTTTTCTCAGACACAATATTTCTTCAGAGCACCCTGTGCCCATAGAAACTACATGGATGAAAATGAATAACTGTTAACAAATCCAAACGAACACGCCATCAGCATGGCAGCTAAACACACAGTTACCACTGAGAAACAGCCTATTCCATCTCTGACTCGGAGGGGGACAGACAGACAGACAGACAGACTGCATCCTAACCTAATCCAATTCAGGTAAGGCGCTGTTTTGCCTATCTACGTGTGCACACAGCCTCTCTCTCCCATTGCTGTGGCTGCTTCTGCAGCCTCATGGCGAGCCTGTTCAGGACATGATTCAGTGGAAAATTTTGAGCCTAAAAATTAAAATTTAGAGTGCTATGGGATATTAAAAAAATCACAGGCTTAGTAAAGAGGCTGTATTTAATTAGTGATGATAATAGGGTTTACTGCATAGTAAGCCCCACCCTTCCCTTGAATACTCCCATGCTCTGCTAGTCATAAATTCTTTCCTATGGGAAATAATCATTCTTTTTCCAACCTAACAGGTTCTGTAGTCTACAAACATCATATAGATTACACAGGTTATATGATGGAAAAACTAACAGTCCAACAATTATTGTATCTGGTACAACTCAGAGCAACACATCTCAGTTTAGGTTTAACTATGGCTAATTCGGCTTCAATTTCAGACTTAAGTAGAGGAGGTTTGTATGCCAAAAAAGTCATAAATTGATTCCACTAGTATCTGAAGTTTAATACAATATATTACCACTCCTGGAAAACTTATTTCATTAGATTCTTGCAGGTGAAGTTAAAGATGAATTAAATACTCCTACACCACTATCGTAACATTTTTATGTCAGTTAACACTCCTGCGTGGAAAGTTCAATGAATTGTCTGCATTACTGCTCTTTGGTAAACTTAACAGTTGAGCAAGAATGTCCTTTTCTAAAACCTAAAGCAAAAAGGACATTTTCTTCTCTAGCCAATATTGTGGACTATAAGAAATTAATTTCTAGTACATTCCAGAATAGTGTTGAGACTTATGAAACTGTATAGTCAGCTGCAGAAACCATCAATCTTCAGCATGTCAGTATTTATTATTTCTCTTGAAATATTAACACATTTTCCCTGAAAAGTAACGCACAGACTTCACATTGCAGAAATTCATTATTCATCAGGCCAATACTGGATCCTTCAAACAGACTGTCTGTGCTAATGATAACAGTTCACTCTTTAATCTACAGCTTAAATTTATAGGTCAATAAACTTAGCAACCTCTCTCTGGCTAATATTTCACTTTAAAATCTCTCTTCACTCACTTATCTTCTGTATCTGCCATGCCCAAGAAATATATTTTCAAAAGTGCAGGAAAATTAACATTCTTAAATTGAAACAGATGGATCATCAGTAACACACAAACTATTCTAAAAGGTACTTTCTGAAGAGGTGAACACCTCTCTCTGCACATGAGTGTGGCCTGGGTGCTACTGTTGCCCCCACTGATACATCCCCAAACAAAAACCACACAGGAATCCAGTTCTAGCTCATCCTGTTCAATTTATGTCTGTCATTTCCTGCCCTACTTGTCAGTTCCAACCTTGCAATCATGTAATACTTTAGTTTGTTCCTTGCAGCTGTACATCTGGTGCTCTGCTATCTCCCATATAACAACCATGTTTACCATATTTGATGATCCAGCTCTTGTCTTTCACCAGTTCTATCAGGCTATCATCTCTTCAGCTAAATTGTTATCAGTATGAGATTGTGTAACATTTTACAAAGCTTACAAGAAGACTGGTGAGCACCTTCCTGTTCTGTAAAATAACCATTATATTGCATTAAACACCAATTGTTTGCTAAAAAGGACACGTCATCAAAAATTGTCACAAGTCTGAAGTTCTTTCTTCTCATTCTGTCCCAGCCAGTCTGAACAGTCTTTAGACTGTGTAAGCATTGGCAGGTTTCTGGCTCTCCCTTGAACTGAGCTTGCGAGGTGCTCCCAAGCTTACCGTTTTAACTTTGGTTTTTGTACTGGAGGCTGAGGTGCAGGATTTGAAAAGGCTGTACTTTTACTGACGGGCACTGAGTTTTTCTTGGAGGTAGTGACCTGAGCAGGGTGACTGGTAGATGATTTGGGGCTCCTCCTCTTGATTTTTCTTTCTTCCATTTCTTCCAGTTTACTGCATCTAGCCTAACTTCTTGTCCTCCAAAAGGAAAATAAAGAGTAAGAAACATCAGTTATAACTGGCATTTACAATAAAGACAAGTGAAGAACCAGGTCACAGTGCATGGAAATAGTTCTATAGTTTCTTCAAAGATGAACAGTCACTTATGTCTTCAAACGAGACAATCCAGTTTTCAGAAGCTGCCCAGGCCTGCCCGAGCAGCAAAACGGGCAAGAATTAAAATCTTCCGAACCAGCTTCAACTGGCAGGTACCTCAAAAAGTTCTCAACCTTTACGTCCCATGGACTATTGATAGAAACACGGTGACTATTCAAGTGCACACCACTCAAAAGGACTGAGAAAGGACTGTGGCATGAGGGAGCTGTCGTTCCCCCCTGCCGAGTGCCCGCCTCTGAAGGGAGAGGCAGCGGCCTGGTCAAAACTCAGCTGGCGCTGAGTTGTTACTGCGGTTTCACACGCTGCTGATGGGGGATACCCAGCACCAGGCGGCTGCTGTTACAAACGTGCTGTACGCAATGATCTCCTACCGAACGATCTCCTCGCAAACC